AAGAAAAAAGTTCCATTTAATGCTACATCATCAAGAAATGATAAACGTTCATTTACTCATAGTGGTGCTAATCATGTATATTTTAAAATGAATTAATACTTTAAATTTATTCCCTTTTTCTTTAGTCAGTCGGTGTTGGTCGATACAATCTTTTAGGACCAATAAGAGATGAAACAATAGCTGATAAACGTAAACGACCAAAAAGACGAAATATTGGATTTTCATCAACTACAACACGTTTTACATCTACTGATGGAGAATTACTATTAAAGTAAAATTTTATCTTTGATAATTAAGGTTTATATGTTTTTTTTTTCTTTTATATTTATATTCTAGCGAACGTTTAAAACCACAAAATCTTCGAACAGAACAACGAACACAATTATATCGTACCGGTCGTGTATCATCCTAATTTCACTATGCAATTTTATAAACAAACCATAAAAAAATATTTTTTTCTTCCTTATATCTTTGTTTGTTTTCCAAATAATATTTATAAAATGTTTATTTTTCTTTTTTACTTAAGTAAAAAAAATATCATTCACAATTCTAATAGTCAATCATATTTCATTAGATATATAATAAATGCATTCTACCAATCGAGCAAAACCTAATGATCTTTTGTATGTAAATCATATTTGATTCTTTTTTTTTTTTTTTTGTAATTATCTTTTATTCAATTAGTAATTTTCAAGGTATTCGAAAACGTATTATAATTGCACCAGATTATTCAATAAATGATGAACGATTAAATATAAAAACTTCTGAAGATGAATATAAACAAATTGATAATGAATATAATGAATTAAATTTAATTGATAAACAATTTGAATCTTATGTTCGACCATCAATTGAACAATCAGAATGGATTTCTAATCGTAAATATGAACGAAATGAATTAAATCGTCTTGGTGATATTATTTATTTTTATGAACATAAACCAAATTTAACTGAATTTGAAAAACGTATTTTTAAACGATTAACACGTCAAGATCGTTCAACTCAAACAGATATAGAACCAGAAAAAAATTTCAATTTAAAACAAAATCGAAATCGTATACCAACTATTCGTCTTCCAACACCATTAGCAATGGAACGTGTTGAAAATTTTTTAATTAATAATCATTGGCGTTTAGTTGATTTTTTTCGTACACTTGATCGAAATAAATCATGGACTCTTGTTAAACAAGATTTTATGCGTTTAGCTGAAAAAGTAAAAATTTTTATATATATATTAGAAGAAAAAAAAAATACTATAATTATTTATAGGAACAACTTGATATAACAGATGCTGAAGCTGAAGAATTAATTTCATGCTTTTGTCGAGATGTTAATGTTCCATTAGATTATAAAAAATTTGCTCGTGGAAGAGCATCGTATAAAAAAAATATGCGAGGTTAAAAAATTAGCAAAAAAAAAAAAAAACAATGTTTTCTTTTTTATTTTGAAATAATATCTAATTTTTATTCGATTAATAGACAGTGCTAGTAAAACTCCAAGTTCATTAGATACTCAACTTGAATCAGATACATCAACAACACCATCTTCAAATCATTTACAATTACCACCAACTGATATATCACGTCAATATCCAGTACAAGATTCTTCTTCATCATATAGTCGATCAACGAAATCATCATTAGCAAAACATAAAGTATAGTTTTATTTTTTGAAATCTAATTTCTTTTTTTTTTATTTTAGAGAGCATCAGCATCTACAATACGAACTGGAAGTAATTTAAGTACATATGAACAAAATTAATTTTTTGTTTTTTTTAATGTAAATAAAAATACTGTTAACACAATTCTTATGAGATTAAAATTCTTTAACATATACTTCGATTTAGAACTTTTGGGACGTACTGACATGTCCGTAATGAAAGATATTATTTATAATATTTTATAGTAAATTTAGAACGGAAATAACATACAGGCATCTCAAAATTTAATCTTCTTTCATAATAATCCACACAGGAAGTTTTAATTCCGCGATTAACTCTTTAGCAAGCTGTAATTGACAATGATGTTGCTAATCTGTCTCTGACGTTGCCACGGTTATATTTCCTACAGTTTATGGAAAGGATGGGCATATTTTTATCTTTGCACTTCAATACCCTTCTTTGACTTGTAGTTCAAAAGAAGAATTAAATATTATATTATCAATACAATGTCCTTTTCAACTCTATTACAAAAAAAGAAGAAATGAAATACAGTCATTTATAGGCAATGTATTTCACGATAAAGATTTTAATTCATTTTGACATGTAAAATATATGTATATTATTATCGAATGATCAATATACACATTGAATAATGAAAAAGTTCGTCTTATAAAAAACAAAGTATAAATGTTCGAATCTAATATAAATATACGCATAGGTAGATCAACATTTTATATTTGAGTGTAGCAATAGATTGTAATATCATATTATTTTGAAAGAAAAACATGTTTTTCAATCTTATGTATGCCATTTATAATTTTTTCAGGTGTGGTAATTGCCCTCTGGGACGATCTATCTGCCCATGAATATATTTATTATTTCTTTGAATAAATATAGAACATATGTAATTACATAGAATTTATATCATTAAATTGAATAATATGATAATTTCAGTTGATTATTATCGAAACGATTGATGAATTGATTTTGCTTTCTATAATATTCATTTTATTTTTTGTACTTTTATTAAAAAAAAAAAAAGTTTTATCCACACGTGATATTCTTGTCACTCGGATGAACATAATCCAATCTTTAATAAAATATTCATCACTGTCTACATTTGAGAAATTCTTTTTTACGTTCATTTGTTTTCTTTTTTTTTGTTGAAAATTATAAAATAATTTGTTTTTCAATGGTGTGTATCTGCCTTATGAATTATCTTCGTGTTTATAATTATATACTCTTCATCACTAGTGCATTATAATTCAACTGGAAAATCTCTATTTTCTACATGCAATATGACGCCTTTTAATGTTAATGTGGTGCGATGCACAGCATTTTTGTAATCCTTCGTTAGTCTTTTTTTTTTCTTTTTAACGCCATACGAAGGAAAACATTAATGTAGTCTATGGCAAGAACCTCTTTTTTTTATTTATTTTACTTTCTCAATGTACGCATCATAAATTATCATTTTCTGTTGCGATGATTTCAAGAAAGGAAAGTTAGAGAAAAAAAAAAAGAGAAAATCCTTTCAAATGTAAGTATTAAATTTCATGATCAAATCGATACTATCCGTTATATGATCTGCAATACTTACGTTGCATTTTTTTCTTATAGAATGTAATAAAAAAAAAACAAAGTGTAAACTTTTGTAAACTTTGTTTTTGTTTTTCTTTCTCAAACTTTGAGATTATTAAAATAAATATAGTGATAAAAATTCATCGCTATTTTCTTTACTTAAATTTAATACAACTAATAATAGATAAGCAATCAGACAGAATCAAAGGATTAATCGTAAATAACAATTATCTTATAGTATTATCTTGATTTCGAATAATTGATTGATCGAAATATATGTTTTGGAAGAAGAAAAGTGTCTCGTCTTCAATGGTAGAAACGATTATTCGCTGGTTTTTTTTAGAAGATATCGATTTCTTTTTTTTTTATTATTTTGTCAATTGAAATTCGAAGCTATACACCATATCTTGTCGGCGAGTAAAACTCAAGTACCATCTAGTTTTTTCTTTTATTTTTCTTCACATATCAATGCTTAATTTTGTAACTCTATGTGATATTGACATGTAATTGTAGAATTAATTTTATTATATGTTAGTATTTTTTTTAATCAATGTTTGAGTGACATGCACTTATTTCCAAAAAACAATAATTTGAACAATATACTACCTTTCATAAACTAAATTGATGAAAGAAAAAAGTATATCATTAATGGCACATTTCACAGTCTCATAAAAGAAAAAAAGCAAAAGAAACATTTTAATTTTCACCTTCGATATATTTTTGATTAGTGATTTTTGATATGAAACAAAAACAAAAAAAAAATTATTTTCAAATTGATATTCTAATAAAAATTATTATTTCTTAAAATCTATTCTTTGTATAAGTAATTGAAAAGATATGCATAAGTTCTTGAATAGAAACACGTGCATTTATAGAGTAATTTTATCTTTTATCAATATAAGCTTTTCCATACACATTATTATCTTTGACATACACGCACAATTTGACAGTCATACTTATAGACAGAATGCATATTTTTACTCTAGAAAAAACAAAATATTTTACTTGTCAAAATAATTTGACAAAATCAATTTTTTCCTGTTTTGTCTTTTTTTTTTCTTTCTTTTCTATAAATATAACTCTACTTGTTGAAATCTGGCTTTTCCCGTTTTGAACGTTTGCTTGCGTGATAAAGAAAAAATAAATATAACGAGTGACAATACTTATTCAAAGCCGGTTTGTGTGTGTGTGTGTGCACACTCTTATAACTTCGTTAAATGACTTCTTAATAGACTATTTTTTTTTTATTGTTAGCCAAAATAAAAAGAATCTAGCACGTCTATTTAATAAACAAAGAATTGACGTTCACAAAAAAAGAAAAGAAATACCGATTGATAGAATATATATGCAGTGCGGGGGATATGTAGATGAAAAAAAATACATATATATATATATATACTTAAAAATATCTGCAAGAGAAAGAAAAAAAAAGTTTTATGCTCTGTTTTTAGTTTCTCTTATTAGGATATGTCAAGAGAAAGAAAGAGAAATCTATCAAAAAAGAAATAGCTCGTTGTTGTTGTCACAATATACATCTACAAAAATGTCCTTTTAATAGTGACTAGGCAATATTGCTATGTTTTTTTCTTTTACTAGCAACTCAGGGACGTGTTTAATGCATATATATCTATCAATCTATTTTTTGAGTTTGTTTAAGTATACATTGAAGTTGCATTTTAGACACAAGGAGAAAGTTTCGTTGTTTAAATTATTTTAAAAGCATATAAGTTAATATATATTTTCTTTTACAAAAACACATCCAATGGGAAGTTGGATAGGTCATATTGCACCAGGTATGTTCAAAATAATGTAGATCTTCTTCTTTCTTCTTTTTTGTTTACTTTATTTAGGTATATTTTTTATTATTTTTGCTTTTTGGTGGCATATCCATAATTGTGCACGTTATATAAGATCACTTGCTCATGAAAGAGATGAAAAAACAAAACGAGAAAAATATAAATTTCAAGGTTCAACAACTTATCCTTGTTATTGTTTGCCTGGTAAGATCTTTCATCGTTTGCCTATTGAAAGTATTGTAAAAATTCTTATTACATCAATTCATTTTTCCATCGAAATTATTACTGGTTATAATAGTCAACCAAGACCTCATCTTGGTGATGAAAATGCTCATCATACAGCTATGCTTTTTGGATTTTTTCTTGGTTCATGGATTGAAATTTTAGTTCATTATAAAGTTCCATTACCAAAACGTATCAATCAAGTTATGGGATTTTTAGCTTTTGCTATTGAAGGTCTTATGATGGTATTTCATTTACATGCACGAACTATGGTAGATGCACATATACATCAATTACTTGGTTTAACAATAGTTTGTTCAATGATTGGTGCTATTGGAGAATCATTTGATCCAAATAATTTTTGGTTTATTGTAGCACGAAGTTTTTTTGCTTTAACACAAGGTACATGGTTTCTTCAAGCATCATTTGTTATTTGGCCTAAAACAACAAATTCATATTTTATTTGGGATCTTGATTCACATCGATCTGTTTCAATATTAACAATGTCTTATGCTTATCATTTAGCTGGAAATGCATTTTTACTTATTGTTGTATATTTATTAATTCATATGTTTGTATCATCTACAATTAAATTAAATCATAATCAAATTGAAAATGATGAATCTATTGATGGATACAAATTAATTGTTAATGGAAATGATGAAGACAATGGACTTTAAATATATATTTCCATGTACTGATCAAATAAACAAGCATCTTCCCTTTGACTTCATATACCTTCTTTTTTTCTTTTGCAGATATTTTTTTTTCCCTCTTAGAATCGCACAATATAGAATCGACGTTATCTTGTAATTGCAGCTTTTCACAATGCTTGCATCTTTTTTTTTTCAGTAAAAAAATAAAATGCAAAACAAAAACAAAACACCATGATCTTTTCTACCTTCATTTATTATTCAGATTTCATGACTGATATATAATATGCTAGCAGTTTCAATCTGAAGTAGATATTGGTTTTTTATTGGGTTCCATGTTTATCAATAGAGCAGCTATTGATAGAGAGGATGATAGAATATCAGTTAGACTTGTCAGTAAAATTTTTATCTATTTGTTGATTTATTTCTCATTGTGATATTATAGAATATACTATTTTAATAATAAATTTATCTTCTCTCTCGTTTTCTTTAAAGGAGATCATTAAAGTGAAATGATTTATGTGAAAAATTGAATTAATTTTTTTCAAAGTAGATTATGCTAAAACCTTTGTTTACCACAGATAATATACTATCGTAACATGCTGTTAATAAAAAAAAATATGTTTTTCAAACTAACGATTAATTTCATAATAAGATTTCAAGATTGTTAAAAGTACATTGTCAAAATTATGGTGCAAATTTACCTTATGCTGATGTAAACACTGACATAGTCGTCATTATTTCATTTCTAAATATAGATGTTAATTGATGTTCGTTTTTTTTTTCATTTTATTGACACAAACGTTTTTGTTTTGCTAGGAATGTTCTTTTTTTCTTGGGTGTACAATTTGTTTTATTGATTATCAAAAACATTATTTGGATGCATTCATATGGATTCATCAAATAAATTTCTCTACTTAATTTAGTTTTTTTGTTTGTTATTTATTTTAGAGATTTGTTCTGTTTTTTTTTTCTTGTTATTGAAAATGATTTTTATCGTGTTAACACATGTATTTATTATGATATTATAATTCATTTGAACTATATGTAAAAGTCAATATTTTTTTGCTTCTTACATAGATCTTCATTCGTTTCTACAATGAACATTTTACCATTAGCATACTATGCAAATAAAATAATTTGACATTTAAACCATGCATTTTATTTTTTCTTTGTTGAATTTTTATAATCTACTCGACGGACTTTTTTTTGTATCAAAATGATTATCAACTTCTATTTCTTCTTTTGTTTTTTTGTATTACTACTATGTTATTATTTTTTTAATGTTACTGATTAATAGTAAAAATAAAAATATAATATGTTCATCCTAATTATGAGAATGATGCATATGAATCTTGCTAGATTATCCGAGAATTTAATTCTAGATTATTATGAAAAGAGTCAAACTTGAATTGAAAGTTACTGTCACTAGACTCTTGTCTAATTAACATAATCATATCAAATAAACAAGAATATTGACTTGTGAGTTACGATAATAAAAACATCAAAGTTATGATGATTGACGTCAAACCAAAAAATATTAAACTTATAATTAATTTTGTCAAATGTTATCGTTATTATAATAAAAAATAACGAAAATATAATGGTTACCAATAATAATGAATTGGAAAGAATCATGTGTTTTTTTTCATTATTACCTTCTTTTATATATCTGATTTTTCTTTAGATTCATAAGTTATTCATAAACTAAACAATAAACTGACGGTTAATAAAAATAAATAGAGAAAGACGATTGTAAGTCATATTGATCTCAATATGTAATAATAATTACTCGACTTTGTACGAAAGATGGCGCTAGATATTGATTGATATATCACAAATATGTTTCACTGTTATTCACCCTCGTATTTTGCTTGCGATTTATGTATAAATTAAACAAGAATAGTATAGAATACTTTAATCTTCTGTAGGGGTATTCACTTACCACAAACGAAGAAAAATGATGATTTAGTCACGTATGATACTCATGCTTAGTGACAACTGCCCGACCGTCGTGCCAACGGAATTCGGGACGAATCTGATCCACTTCGTTTGTTGGTGTAAGAATAAAATATTTAAAATAATTAATAACACATGAATGATGTCTATTGAATCGAACAGTAGTTTATATAGTAAATAACATAGTATACTGACGGTAGTACGAACAAACATGAGGCATGAAGTTTTTCTTTTCATTACACTAGATGAAAATAATATGGTATAGTCTTTCAATTTATTCTGTTATTTTTCTATAACAAAAAACACTACATAATCTTATAAATATACCGGGTGACCCAGAATAAATGATTGCACTTTGAGTTTAATTTTTTTTACTTCTAAATGCGTTGTATTAAAAAAAAAAAATACCACAAGATGCAGCATGAAAAGCTCTACAATTTACATAGTAAAA